TAAAAGTACTTTTATACACTCTAAGAAATAAACAGTTGAATTTACTGAACAAAATCCTTCAACCTAATTGAGTAAATGAAGCAATATAAATACTTTCAGAAGATATGTATATTCCTTTGTATTTATTGTATTAGGTTTAGTGGAACCAGTCAACATAACTTGGTTGAGTAAATTCAACACTTCATATTTTAGAGCGCCTAACAACTCCTCTCATAATGAGTTTGAGCATATTTAATTTTGTAACAAGTAAATATGTCATTTTAACCTTTCCATTTACAAAACAACACAAACAACACAGAACAAGGGGAAAAAATCAGAAATAATGCAGAAAATAAATAATATACAAACTTTGAATTCCTGTCAATGTCAAAAACACGAGGCATAGACTGAAAAAAGTGTAGGTAGAAGCATAAGCTGTTTATACCTCCACTTTTTATACATATATACATAGTAAAGAAGCAAAAGTATCATTTTTAGGCTTTAAATGTAACAAAATAAAAGTAAAAGTAATGATTTCTAAAAAATTTTTGGTAAATTTACAAATTCTCACTGTAAAGGTACTTATTTACTATTAATTCTGAGAAACTGAAGCAGGTGCAGAAAAAGAATATATGGATGGATGGAGAATTGCTTATATTTCTAATATGTTTGTAGATCCCTTACCCTGAGAAATGAGTCGAGAGCTCCGTTCTCCATAAACTCTGTGATGATCATCGTAGGTCTGCTCTTGGTGACCACGCCCTCCAGTCTGATAATGTTGGGCTGGTCGAATTGGCCCATGATCGAAGCCTCGGCCAGAAAGTCTCTCCTCTGCCTCTCAGAGTAGCCCACTTTTAAGGTCTTGATGGCCACAGGAATTTCCTTCTTCCCAATGGGTTTCAGGCGACCTTTGTACACCTCCCCAAACTCACCTGGAAAAACAAGCAAAATCAGGTAAATCTGTCCACTTCTGAACAGCTTACAACACATTTTACTTCATATTCGAGTAAATAAATTCACGGCACATCAAATTTCATTTGTGATTTATTATCCTACATGAATAAACCAAGGTCTGTACAGGAGCAGAATGGTGAAGTAGTGCAAGTGTTTGTGTTAAACACAGAAAGAAAAATACTCTTCAAGTTGGAAGCTGCACAGTCTCAACCCGGTGATGGCCTCTGAGCAGGTCCACCAYGGCAGATTGAGGTCGCAGGCTTTGCTCAAGGGCACATTTTTTTCTTTTTTTTTTTCTTCCCACCGAAAGAACAACAAAAAAGTAAATCCCTTCAATAACTGCTCTCAGGGGTGAGGAGAGGGGTGCAGTCGAGATGGAAAACAAGATAAAAAAGGGATAGTGCCATTATGATTACTTAGAAATATTGTTTTYGCACATCTCAAAAATAATCTCTCACTTAAATAAAAGAAGCTTAATTTGTATTTGTGTATTTAGACCTTTCTGTCACTAGGAAAGGAACCCTCTTGAGGACAAAAATCTCTTTTACAAGAGTGCCCTCGTCAAGAAAGACAGCAGCTCCAGAAGCAATAAATTACAACAAACACAAGAGAGAAACGGAACCATCACAGGAGACCAACAACAAAGCCATTAAAGATATAAAACCTTCTCAATTAGAGARCATGTTTAAATGTATTTTTCATACTCTGTGCAAGCTTCTAATAGTGGATACAATAACATTCAGGATTTTTTTTATTTTTGTGAAAGATGGACATTTGTATCAAAAAGGATGAAGACCAGGAAAAGCTTAATAAATTAGACTGTAAGAATGTCTGTTCTAAATGTACACTAACACTAAAGTCAAAGAAATAAAAAAACATGAAAGGTAAGTTTGCATAAGATGGAATCTAAATTTTTATCTTATTTTTTAATAGAAAATAATGCTTGAAATGTTGAAGCAAACCTGCAAGTGTATCACATTACTTAAAGTATTTACTCTTTAGTCAATACAACATTTCAGATTGTGATGCTTTTAACCATGACCCGAGACATTACTGGAATTTATCTGAATTTGTTGATTTATAAAACAATCCATATTGAAGTCTAAGTTATAAAAACATATATATGATAAAGAAATAAAACTTATAACATGGTGTTTTTTGTTGCTTTTGTCTTTTTTTTCTTGTCTTTTTTGTTTACCAAAGTATATAATTTACCATTAGACATACTTATCAGAAAGTAATCACTGGATGTACATCTAAAAACATTTCAATAACTTCTGATGTTAACCTAAAACAAAAAGGCTGCCACTGACATTTAAAAAATAACATGAAAAAACATTTTATAAGGCTATTAGGTTGTCAATTTAACAAACATATTCAGGTTGCCTAAGATCATCTGTTTAACATGTTGCCAATAACTAAAGTCAACCAAGTTTACCTCTTATTAAAATGGTATGCACAGCACAGATGTGAATTTCGAACCACCCCACGATTCCTAGCCTCATGGACACAATGTAAACCTGAAGACTTAAGAATTCAAATTATAAGGTCTCTATGAGCCTTGGGACCAAATAACAACACCTCTGTTTTGTTATTGTTTAACAATAAAAGGTTATTGGATATCCAGACCTTAATATCAGCTAGACATGAACCTAGTATGTTTACAGCAGACAGATCAGATGGATCAATGGATAAATAAATTTGAGTATCATCTGCATAGAAGTGAAAAGAGATATATTTTCGAATAACTTGACCAAGAGGTAACGTGTAAATAGAAAATAGCAGTGGGCCAAGAATAGAGCCTTGAGGAACACCACAAGTGAGTTCTACAAAATTAAAGGAAACGCTACCAGTTGAAACATAGACCTAGATAGGATTTAAAGCAGTTTAGAGCAGTTCCATTCATACCCACAGAACATTGCAGGCAATTAATTAGAATGTTGTGATGCTGCTGAGAAGTAATATTTAGTCATTTTAATTATTTGCTTTAATTAAATCAAGTTTACATCTAAAATGGGATTAACTTATGGGGTCAGTTCTATTCAACATGGCCGCCACAGCTAACCAACACAAGCCAGCATTCAAACATCTTTATCCCCGTCAGTTTACAGATATTTCCTTCCTGTCGAGACAGACGTCTTTTGTCAAAATAAATGCAGCGATACGCTGATGGAGGACATGAAAATTGAATATCACTTCAAAATAAAAGTCCCCGTTCCAGAGATTTGTGAATAATGGATGAGAGCTGGGAATTAGATGACAGGCAGTGCCGTTCAGTCTCACAGTGA